CAGAGAGAGAGTTCTGCCTCTAGGAGACCTCCGTTTGAGCCCTGCAGAGTGGCCAAACTAGCCAATCATAGCATCAGAACTCTAAGCACCTGAGAGAGAGTGGGCACCTCCCAGAACATTGTTTTGTGCCATGCCCAGCAGAAATACTCCAGGTGGACACCTTCAGCAATCAGGAGCTCCTCAGTTGCTCATAGAAAATCCCACCTTGGAATTTACAAAGACTCATGGGTAGAAAAGCCACACTAAATAATTTACTACACTGCAACATGGGTGATTCAGTGACATTAAATACATCCACCGTGTTGTGCAACCATTAGTACTATCCATTTCCAAATTTTTCATCACCCTTAACAGAAACCCAGTCCCCCTGAAGCAGTAACTTCCCCTTTCTTCCTCCCACTTGCCTCTCGTAACCACTAGTGAACTTTGGTCTCTATGCATTGGCCTTTTCTAAATAATTCAAAGAAGTGGGATCATAAAATATTTCTCCTTTTGTGTCTGACTTTCTTGACTCAGCATAGTGTTTTCAAGGATCAGTCACGTTGGTGGCATGTAGCAAGACTTGACTTCTCTCCATAGCTAAATAATGTTCCATTGTATGTATAGAGCACATTTTGTTTATCCTTTCATCTCCTGATGGACACTTGGGTTGTTTCCACCTTTTGGCCACTGTGAATAATGTTGCAGTGAACACTGGTGTATGCGGATCTGTTTGTGTTCCTGTTTTCAGTTCTCTTGGGTAGACACCTGAGAGTAGAATTGCTGGGTCATATGGCATTTAACTTTTTGAGGAGCTGCCAGACTCTTTCCCGTGGCAGCTGCATCATTTCACAGTTCTCCCAGCAGTGGGTGAGGATTCTAGTTTCTCCACATCTTGCCCAATGCTGTTTTCCATTTTTATGATGATCATCTTGGTGGGGGTGAAGAGGTATCTCACTGTGGTTCTGATTTGCATTTCCCTAGTAACTAATGACATTCAGCATCTTCTCATGTTGCTAAAAGGGCAAGGAGGCCACATCTCCTGACCTCTAACTGTACAAGAGGAAGACAGTCACGATCAGTAGCCCAAGGCCTATTCCTGCGAGGCCAGACATGCTGCCTTCCTTTCACCAGCCCTTCCACCAACCGTTCCTCGCAAAGCACCCACCACCTCTCTCCTGGGTTCGATAATTCACTGCAGTGGCCACACAGAACTCACAGATTATGGGGTTTATTAGGGAAGCACCAGTTTACAATTCAGGTTCAGGAAAAATGCTATCTCTCTCAGCAGTGCACATCTCTTGAGTCTCTTTCAGCAGCACATGTCTCTCAGGAGCACCTGTCTCTTTCAGCAGCACATCTTCCTCAGCTGGCTGTCAGAGAGAGTTCTGCCTCTAGGAGGCCTCCTTTTGAGCCCAGCAGAGTGGCCAACCTAGCCAATCATAGCATCAGAACTCTAAGCACCTGAGAGAGAGCGGGAACCTCCTAGAACATTGTTTTGTGCCAAGCCCCACAGAAATACCCCAGGTGGATGACATTTGCAATCAGGAGCTCCTCAGTTGTTCAAATACAGCAAATTCCACCGTGGAGTTTACAAAGACTTATGGCTAGAAAAGCCATACCAGATAATTCACTACACCACGCATGTACTTGTTGCCCATATGTATATATTCCTTGCTGAAATGTCTGTTTAAGTCCTTGGTCCATTTTTTTATTGGATTGTTTGTCTTTTTGTTGTTGAGTTGTAGGTGTTTTCTGTACATTCTAGATATTAAATGAGACATTTACACACACACACACATATATGTATATACAATCAGATATATGATTCCCAAATATCGTGTCCCATTTCATAGGTGTCTCTTCACTTTGTTGGTAAAGTTCTTTGTCGCACGAAGGTTTTTAATTTTATCTGTTTTGTCTTTTGTTATTTATGCTTTGGTATCTCATCTAAGAAGCCATTGTCAGAAACTAGGTCTCAGAGTATTTACCCCTGTGTTTTGTTCTGAGTTTTATGGTCTCAGTTCTGACATTTAGGTCTTTGATCTGTTTAGAGTTAATTTTCATGTATGGTGTGACGTATGGGTCCAGCTTCATTCTTTTTTGCATGTGAAGATCCAATTGTCCCAGCACTGTTTACTGAAGAGCCTCTTCTTTCTCCATTGAATAGAACGCTTACGTATTTTTAAAAGTGATGTAGAAATGAGAGTTTTTGTCTCACTGTATCACTGTATCAAAAGTGCATTTGCCTAATACCGTCTCTCCACCTTTGTAAGTAGCTCTTAGGTCCTGTGATTTGGTGCTTGTGAAATCTAAATGCTTGTGTCAGTAGCTTTACAATACAGTGCTTCACTGGTGTCTTTCTTAGGATAGATTGCTTCAATTTATCAGTTGCTGGGAATCTGACTTTTAAATCTTTTTAACAGCAGTACATTAATAAAAACTATATTTTATTAGATGACCATTCTCCCTCAATTGATCTATACATTCAGTTTGATTCCAACAAGTTTTTTAAGAATGCCAATTGATAAGTTGATTTAAAAATGTGTATGAAATTGTAATAGGTCAAGGATCATTAAAACAGTAATGAAAAAGAACAAAATGGAAGAAGTTGCTCTACTAGATAGCAAGACTTGTGAAGGTTCAGTAATTAAGACAGTACGGGAGCGGTCTTGAAAGGCACTTAGCCCCGGCTGTACCTTTGTTTTTGGCCAAAGGAATAAAAAGTGCCTTTAACTTTAAAAGAGAGAAAGAGAGAGGGAGGAAAGGAGGGACGGAGGGAGGGAGGGAGGGGGAGAGAGAGACAGCAGGAGACAGGGAAGGAGGGAGGAAAAGGACAGTATGATACTGGCGTAAGAGTAGATAAATAGATTGATGGAACAGAACAGAGAAGTCAGAAGATGCATATGTTTGTGTTCACTTGAGTTACTGCAGAGGTAGAACTACAAAGTCTTTACAATAAATGACTTTGAACAGTTGGGGAAAGGAAATGAAGCGTGGATCCCTACCTCACATCATATGGTTACTTAGTGTTACCATCTTAAGGCTTCTGCCGGCAGTGTAGTTGTTTTCCTTTATAGGTAATCTGCCTTTTTTTCTCCCTCTTTAAGATCTCAGTGATAGAATTCCCAGCCCTCTGCCTCCTTACTTTAAGTCCAGTGAACGTTCCCTACTCTAATTTGCCCTGTGGACCTAAGCAAAATTTTCAAGTAAAATAGAATCCTGTTGTTCCACTTTTAGATCATTAAACAGTTATATGAATACTCAGACTGTAAGCACCTGTCATTTGTTAGCAAAAGGAGAAAGACTGGTGAGACAGTTCTTACAAATTGAATGGTTTTGTTTCTTACTTGAATCTTCTTAAATATTTCACAGTATTTCTGCTGTATTAGCTGCTGGTATGCCAGCTCTGGCTCACCAAAAGAAGCTCATAAAGAAAGCCTTGTCAGATTCCACAGTTCCCGTGAACCTGCTCACAAAGACCACTGTTTCCTGGCTGCCCTTTGGCCTCGTTTATAAAGGGAACACTGCCTGCCAAGGAGCGGAAGCTTAGCCAAGTGTGGGTCTAATGACAAAGTGTTTGCTTAGAAAACCATTCCTGGTCCCTTTCCACAGAAAACCTTTCTCCTTCAGAGTTTTCAGTGCAGGCATACTTTGGAGACATTCCAGGTTCAGTTCTAGACCACCACAATAGAATGAGTCCCCCTAAACTTTTGGTTTCCTAGTGCATATATGGGAGCTCTGGTGGCGTAGTACCTGTCACCAGCCAGTCCTTGGAAGTGGCTTTCGTAGAGATGCCGCCTCGGAAACCCAAGGAGGGGTCGCTATGAATTGGGTCCGATTTGACGGCACATAACAACAACATGACACATTCATTGGTGCCTTGGTGGCACAGTGGTTAAAGCACTCATCTGTTAACTGAGTCAATGGCTTGCACCCACAGCTGCTCCATGGAGAAAGATATGGCAATCTGCTTCCATGAAGAGCATGGCCTTGGAACTTCTATGGGGCAGTTCTGTTCTGGCTGTAGGTTCACTGTGAGTCAGAATCGACTCAGTGGCCGTGAGTTTGGGTATGTGGATGGCTTATCAGGCTTTGCCTTTCTGTTTTGTTATTTTTTTAGTGGTTTCTATGGGGTTTACAGTATATGTCTTTGATTTATTACAGTCTACCCTCAACTAGTATTATACCACATCACAGATAGTGTAAGTACCATATAACACTTCTATTTCATTTTTGGAAAGTGTTTATAAAGCACTTTTGGGAATATTCTCTCACTGATCTGTGTAACAGCCTTGTGAGGCAGGGAGCCCACAGACAACTAGCTTTTACGTTCAAATGGCTGAGTGATTTGCCTGGGTTGAGACAGTACATAAAGCAGTGCTTGGATCAGAAACAGCTCTTCTAATGTCACACTCTTGTTTTGGAAGGAGATACTGCTTATCAAAACTCCTGTACTCTCTGGATAAAAGCTCAGTATAGTTGTATTTATAAGACATCCTGGTGGCACAGTGGTTAAAGTGCCTGGCTGTTAACCACAAGGTCAGTGGTTCAAACCCACCGGCTGCTGTATGAAAGAAAGATACAGTCTGCTTCCATGAAGATGACAGCCTTGGCGATCCTGCATCCGCGGAGAGCACAGCCTTTGGCGACCCTGCGTCCGCGGAGAGGACGGCTTGGCGATCATATGGGCAGTTCTCCCTGTCCTAGAGCATCGCCATGAGTTGACGTCGACTCAACAGCAGCGAGTTAGGATTTTTTTTGGATACTCACACTTGATTGGTTAACATTTCCTTCATCAAAAATGAGGTTTTTCTTTTTGTCATTTGAAATGTTAAAAATTCTGGAGCGGAAATGGGGGCTTTTAGCAGATTTGATTGTCTGTGTGGTTTTTGCCCCTTTCCAGTCAGGAATTACAGGCTCACGCAGTGGAGTTTTCAGTCAAGTTGATGGCTCCCTGGTTTTGCACTCACAGAGCCGTCCACTGCAAGCCCCCTTGTTGCGAATGTTCCCTCTTTCAGGGGAGGACCGAGTCCATCACGGTGGTGAAGCTCCTGAGCTGCTTTGATGACCTGGTGGCTGCGGGCACGGCCTCGGGCAGGGTGGCAGTGTTTCAGCTCGTGTCTTCGCTGCCAGGGAGAAATAAACAGGTGAGTACCCACCACTGAGAGGAGCTCTGGTGGCGCTAACCAGAAGGTCGGCAGTCCAAACCCACCCGCCACTCCACGGGAGAAAGAGGAGACAGTCTGCTTCCGTGAAGATTACAGCCTCAGGCACCCTGTGGGGCAGTTCTGCTCTGTCCTGCAGGGTCTCTGTGAGTTGGAATCCACTCTGTTTGGTTTTGGTTTACCCACCATTGCAGCATTTCTTAGCTTCTCATCAGATTCCTCATGGAGTTGAGAATGAGGACCCCCCCTGCCAGGAAATCTGTGCTCAGGAAAGGTTACCATTGTTTGTAATGTTTTTGGCCCCGGCTTGGCAGAAAGCGTGCACAGGCTATTTCCACTTTGCTCAGTGCTCTCCAGTGTACACTCTGGGTTTGAAGGTAAGGCTGGAGCCTCCTAGGTTTGTGCATTGGAAACAAGGCTGGGAAAACCAGCCCCTTCGTGGAGAGGGGAAGTGCTGTCACCTTGATGTCACGGTTTTATCCTTCTCTTTTCCTTGTGTATTTTTATTGCTTATTTGCAGCTTCGCAGGTTTGATGTCAGCGGTATTCACAAAAATAGCATCACAGCTCTGGCTTGGAGCCCCAATGGGATGAAGCTCTTCTCTGGGGACGACAGAGGGAGGATCGTCTATTCTTCTCTGGACCTAGACCAGGTACAGCGGCTCTCAGAAGTGGGCCTGGTCTTCACCGCTTCAGAGGTGGAAAAATTATAAACTGTTTTTAATTGGCTGCCATTCTCGATCACATTCCCTTTATAATCTCAGTGGTTATTTGTAACAGTTTCTTTCAAGGCCTTTTCTGATGTTTTCTCAGCTCCTGCTTGTGTGAAGGAAAAGCTCTTGGCTTTGTTCCTCCCAGAGCATTCACTTTTCTGCCTGCCTGTTGCCAGTGCTTAGAAACAAAGCCATTACCATTTCAAAGGTGCCATTTCTTGAAAGGTTTTTAGGAATGTTGCCAGGCTTTTCCTAATCATAGTTACAGTCAGAAAGGTCAGTGATTGAGCGGGTGCCACGCTCACCCTGGCCTGTAAGGGGACCTCGAGTGGGAGAGGATGGCAGGTGGTGGCTTTCCTTAACTTCACCCCGTGCTCTGAGCTGTGTGTGCTTACCTTCAAGTGATTGATGGGTAAACCAGGCTTAGAGAGAGCTAGTAATTCACCCAGCATCACAGATTCATCCTGGCAGAGCTGACTGTCAGACGAGGTTCTGCTCCAAAGCCCACAGCTTCTCATGCACGCATT